TGGGTCATTTCTTCAATGAGCTGAACTCTGAATCTGATTTCAGTCAGCAGACTGTGCTGAACTTCATTCCTGAACAGGCCTTGTCAGTCAATAGCATGTCAGCACATAGTTTTGATTTGCACCAGTGAAATTTCTGATGACTGTTTGTTTTGATATTATTAACCGATACATATTTGTATTTCCTTAGCAGACACTCTTAAGCAGAGACACTCTTAATGTTCCTGATCAGAAAACTTTGCTCAAGGAATCCTGAAGCATAAATTGTCGTTATTAACATGTCAAATTTGTCATTGGTACTTTCTGTTTCTAAAACTGTGCAATGACTTTTGACCCAGCGCAATATACCAGACCATATCCACTCCCAAAGTAGGTAATATGTATAGCAATTTCCTCATCCAGCTGGTAGCAAGTTTGCAACATGGGTAACTAGCCTGCAGTGATAGGAGTTGGCAAGAAATTGATGTTTAGAGTAACAATAAATATTGCTAATGAAACAAACTTTATGAAATCAGCTCCAAAACCAGATAAATGATGCATGTGAATGTGTGACATTTATGCCACGACTGTTTTCTTGAGAAGAAACTGACATCAGCAATGACTTTCAGATTCTTATTTCATTCTATCTTTCCTTCTCTAACCCCTCTAAGAGTCCAAGATTCGTGTGGCAATTAATTGAAAACATTTTTTCTCGAAGAGAAATAATAATAAAGGGTTTCAATATCCAACTTCTGTTAAAAATCAATGGCAAAACTCCCTTTTGAATTTTAAGAAGCAAATGATCAGATCCAATGTCTGTAGCTACCGACTACCGTAAGGATTAATCTTAGAGGTTTGGAAGAATTTCCCCTAAAGCAGGAAAATCCATCAAAAAGGCAATGTGTGAGGCAGCAAAAGAAAAAAAAAAAAAGAATCATTGAAGAGAAACCTGCATTTTTCTATAATCTCTATAATGAGGATGGGTTTGAAAATACCAGCTCAGCCTGTTGTGTGTAGGCTCGTTGCATACATTTATTACCAAAGAGCAGTAAATTATACCTTTTCCTTATTTTCTCAGCCAGGCTTGGCTGCATATTGGAAAGTTTCTTTTTGGGACTTGGAAAGTTGCTTAATGCAGGAGTGACTCTTCCATTGTTTACATCCAGTAACACATGATCCTATGGCAGATATTATTGATACAGAAGTAAGAAAAAAAGCAACAGAATCATAAACAATTACCTTCTCTTAGGTTACATTTTGATGTAAAAGATACTAGGGTTACTCACACTAGTCGGTATGTAAATTTGGTAGAACCTGAGTGATATTCACTGTGCAAGGTTTTATGCTGGGACCTGATTCTGTATCCCTTACACAAGAACACTAGACAGCAGTCTCCAGATCCATAATTTAAAAGCCTTGATCTGTGCTCTTAGTCGTAATTTTGGAGGCCAGAGTTAGATGGACAGCGTGTGCTCTGTCTGTCTTTATTGGGTTTGGGTTCTGTTCAGGCCCTGTGCACAGAGGAACAGCTTCTGTGAAAAGTGGACTTCTGAGAACGCTGTGGTCTGAAAGACTGCTCTTGATGCTGTTTGTCTTTTATAGTTTTTGTCTCAGGGCCCAGACAGCCTAAGCTAGGATGAGATGTTGCAGGTGTGGCATCAGGTCTTGAGAATCTCATGGGCTGGCTCTGAGGCCTTTGCCTCTTTCCTGCGTAAGTCAGACAGTAAAGGTGACTTGTCCTGGCCACCAATAGTGTGTGGTTTGGGGTTTTTTGCTCATCAGAAATAGAGTCTGTGTCACTGACAGAATATCTAGTCTCCTGCTTTGATACTCCAGGAGAAGGCGTTATTTCCCATGTCCTTGACTTCCCCTTATACACAGCCTTCAATCATTTTGTTCACTAGCTTGCGCCATGATGCTAGGTGATATTCATGTCTGCAGGCTGACCTATCAGGCAAGTAGGAAAGCTATGAAAGAGGCTGGATGTCCAGAGGTCCAACTCCTGGCACAGGTCTCTTTAGCCTTTTGCCTCAAAGCAGAGGAGAATAATCACTCAAGTCAGGTAGGGCTCCTGTGTGGGATCAGAGAGTTGTATGTGAACACTAGAAGAGCTTTATATGGAGACCTTGTGGCATAAGCATGAATGTAAAAAGGGTATTCCAGGGTTGCCATCATGTCCTCCAGCCAAAAATAGGATGTCTCAGCGTCAGCTGTCCTTGATGGAACAGTCTTTTGTGAGTGCCCTAAAAGTATTGTAAATGTTTCCACCGTGACTGGACAGGCATCCACAGAACTCCAGGATGCTGCCACTAGATTGCTTCTGGGACCTGAACTGTACGGCAGGGATTCTTCTCTTTTTAATCCATGCAGCTTTGTTGATGTATTTGTTTGTACAAATACTGACCAAACTAAACAAGTACCTTTAAATTACTGAGGCTCTTCACAGACTGCTTGTTTTGAATGATTGTTTGCTAGTTTAGTACACAAGACCATCTAAATTATGGTGTGCTTGGTTTTGGTTTTGGGTTTTTTTGCCTGCTTTTTGCATCATTTACACTTTCATAAAAAGGAGGCTAGAGGATTGAAGAGATTTCAAGATGGCCACACAAACACTTCTGGCATAGAGTTTTCTATGAAGATATATTTACACAATTGTCCAGAAGTCCTTTGCATACCTTGAGCATTCTTTCATGAACTTGAAAAAAAATTAAACTGCGTTTTCCCAGGCAATGAATAAAAGGAGCTGCAAACAACATCAAAGCAAATGCGTGTGTGGTTTACATTTGAAGCATTGCAAACCTGTCTTTTTTTTTTTTTTTAACAGAATCCTTCCAGCATTATTGCTGCTGAATTCACTTAAAACCAAATAAGGCATATTTTTTTAAGCATTTCACAGTTTTTGGGGACATTACTCTAACATCTGTTTTTATTTCCTTGTTAATTCCTTTTCCTGACTCTGAACATAAAATATTCAGGAAAATATGATTTCAAGGGTACGATGTTTGTATGTTTTGAAAAAGCTCCATCTTAGTGTATGTTAGGATATACTTTTTATCTCAAAGCAAAACAACGAGAATGAAAATCAAAAGGCCGTATGTATAACACAGACATAATACTTTATTGTGCAAATATATTGTCACTGAGAAGAGAAAAGC